CAACATATTCTGTTACACCAAATACACAAAATAATGATCTTTAAAAAAGCATCATATGACCCCTTTAATAAATAAATTCCACAGCTTCACTACTAGTAGAGAGACGCTGCCAGGTAGAATTAATTCACACACGCAATCGCTCTCACTAATGCATTCATATTAATGTAATCTTTAGTTTAGTTAGCTCTCAGCTACCGCTGATCATCATTTCATCTGATTTTTCTGTATCTGATTTAGAATGAGCAGAAATCTGTGAGAAATATAACGACCCAAAGACAAAATAACTGATAAAAATGAGCTGTTATAGGAGCAATAGCCATGTGGGCAGCACTGTGTCATATGCCATAGCTGTGCACAAGGTGTTTGTCACAGCTCCAAACTTATTTGTTTATTAATGACATCATCAGCGACTAGTCGACTTCGTCTCGACTTTCATCACATAAAAGTCGACTTCAAAAAATCAGAAGTCGTTCAACCCCTACTCCCTTACCTCGGGCTTCCTAAACCCCCACCCCCCTTTTTGTACTTCTGAAGAGGAGTTGCTCCAAGCGTATACGCACATTCCGAGTTCCGACCTATGTAGGGCCCCTCTGTAGACCTATATATCTATATGTATAGGCTACGTATACTTTTTTCAGCATAGAAATGCTGCCTAACAAAGTGGGCAAACAGCTGGGTCACCCCACGTATTCTTTAACTGGATGGTTGGTGACCAAGTTCTTTAAATGGCACAATCAGATTTTGGAGGAGAATGCGGTGAAACTGAGCAACATACAACCCAAGGACACGGTGCTGGAGCTCGGCCACGGGCCGGGCTTCGGTCTGCAGGCGGCGGCGCAGCTCCTCACGGCTCCGGAGGGGAAACTGCTCGGTGTGGATTACTCTCAATACATGCATGAGATGGCCAGTAAGCGCATGAAGGAGCAGATCTCCAGAGGAAAGGCTGTGCTGTATTGCAGTGATTTGGTGGCCATGCCGATAGAGGAAAACACGGTTGACAAGGTGTTTCACTGCAACTGCTATTACTTCTGGCCGGATCTGAAAGCAGGCGCGAGAGCGATTCACAGAGTGATGAAACCAGGTGAGATCTCGAGAACTCGAGTGATTCAATAAAGTCTCTAACCAATATAAAGAAATATTTAAACAACATATTCTGTTACACCAAATACACAAAATAATGATCTTTAAAAAAGCATCATATGACCCCTTTAATAAATAAATTCCACAGCTTCACTACTAGTAGAGAGACGCTGCCAGGTAGAATTAATTCACACACGCAATCGCTCTCACTAATGCATTCATATTAATGTAATTTTTACTGTGCTACTTTATCTGTATCTGATTTAGAACGAGCAGAAATCTGTGAGAAATATAACGACCCAAAGACAAAATAACTGATAAAAATGAGCTGTTATAGTAGCAATAGCCATGGGGGCAGTGCTGTGTCATATGCCATAGCTGTGCACAAGGTGTTTATCACAGCTCCAGACTTATTTGTTCATTAATGACGTCATCAGCGACTAGTCGACTTCGACTCGACTTTCATCACATAAAAGTCGACTTCAAAAAATCAGAAGTCGTTCAACCCCTACTCCCTTACCTCGGGCTTCCTAAACCCCCACCCCCCTTTTTGTACTTCTGAAGAGGAGTTGCTCCAAGCGTATACGCACATTCCGAGTTCCGACCTATGTAGGGCCCCTCTGTAGACCTATATATCTATATGTATAGGCTACGTATACTTTTTTCAGCATAGAAATGCTGCCTAACAAAGTGGGCAAACAGCTGGGTCACCCCACGTATTCTTTAACTGGATGGTTGGTGACCAAGTTCTTTAAATGGCACAATCAGATTTTGGAGGAGAATGCGGTGAAACTGAGCAACATGCAACCCAAAGACACGGTGCTGGAGCTCGGCCACGGGCCGGGCTTCGGTCTGCAGGCGGCGGCGCAGCTCCTCACGGCTCCGGAGGGGAAACTGCTCGGTGTGGATTACTCTCAATACATGCATGAGATGGCCAGTAAGCGCATGAAGGAGCAGATCTCCAGAGGAAAGGCTGTGCTGTATTGCAGTGATTTGGTGGCCATGCCGATAGAGGAAAACACGGTTGACAAGGTGTTTCACTGCAACTGCTATTACTTCTGGCCGGATCTGAAAGCAGGCGCGAGAGCGATTCACAGAGTGATGAAACCAGGTGAGATCTCGAGAACTTGAGTGATTCAATAAAATGTCCGAACCAGCGTCTATGATATTGTATTTAGGACGGGGAAACTTAATAAAATAAATTTCATAGGCAATTACGCATGTATCTATTTATTTTTTTGGACAAATTAACATCATCCAATGTTGCTGGCAGTGGATGCATGCATTTTTTTCTATACTTATTGTAAGCATAATAATTTGAGGGAAATTATGAATTGGAATTAGATTATTAGGGTTCTGAATTTGATTTTAAGTATAGCCTAGTATTTAGCACATCTCAGATAAACTCCACAAGTTCAAAACATGAACCATATCCATACAATGTGGTCTCAGATTACTAGTCTTCTTTATTTTAATATTGGAAATTATTATTTTCTGTCCTTGCAGGTGGAATTATGGTTACAACTCTCAGACTAGACAGTGTCATCAGAGCTGCTAATATGAAAGTGCTCACTGGACACACATGGCGTCCTGAGGTCTACATGGAGGCACTTCAGTCCTCCGGATTCACAGATGTCCGAATGGAGAAAAAAAGAGAGAAACTCATCACATTTCAAGCTATTTTTGCAACTGCTGTGAAATAAAATTCCTGTGTAATGTACTGATGTGTAATAGCCTACACTGTGTACCCTTACACTTTCTCAGGATTGTGTTTGAAATAAAATGAATCCAACAGGAATAATATTGCCAATGATTGACATTATATGCATTGTATCGGTTCAGAAATGAAATGAGTTCGTTTTAGAGAACATTTACTTTTCACAACAACAACCAAAATTCAGTAAAATAATCTGCACATTTCAAATTATTATAACCATGGTATCATAAACCTCAGTAGCTTAGAGGTGTTTTCTCCAGTGAAGTGAAGCCAGGTCTGAGTTAGTTGTCAGTTATTGCCTCAGGGTGGGCTTATTTTTGAAAGTCAGGCAATCTATCTCTATAAATAAGTTAAAACAGTGTTTAAGCATTCCCACTCTTAGTTCATTTAACATGTTGACACAACTTGCAGGTCATGTTGTCTACAGGCCTATAAGGCAAACAGGCTATAAATTGTCAAGATTGAAATCTGCTCATCATTCTCAACTTATTATGCGTAATTGAAAGAAACACTACTATGTCCAGCAAGTTATCCTTTTTCTTGAGGGTCTTCTTTCAGACAAGTTCAGACTTTGGTGAGTTTTTACAGTTTTACACAGATTGTTTTTGTATCTGATGGTGATGACACGTATTAAGAAAACAGTAGATGGCACCTTAACACATAAAAATGTCTTACCATATAATTCTTCAATACTACATTTCAGTTGTGTGGCCTGTTTTGCCTCTCAAAGATCAGTGCTGTTGTCACTGTCTAAAATGTTTTAGGCTTTTAATGGCTTATCACACTTCAAAATAAAAAGTTAAACCTTCGTAATTAATGAACTGTATACAATTTCAACCGTTAAAATACGGTTGATATGACAGCTCTACTCAGGGCCGGCGCGAGCTCAACTGCTGCTCTAGGCAAAACCCCACTTCACATTCACAATTAAACACGATCTTTAAGATGCATGTGAAAGACTGGAGATTTTGTTTATTGGTACAACTGCGTTAAAATAAAGCAGACACGGGCGTGTTTTCTGATTAGGCTATTATATATATTTTTCCTACTGCAACGTAAAAAAATAAATTAATAAAAAATAACCACTAGTAGGCTATAGCTGCAAAAGCAAATTAAGTGTAGGGCTACAGGCCTAAAGTGGCCATGGGAAGATTTGGGAGAATTCCCGGTAAGCAGCTCGAACACGGAAAGCACAAGTCTCTGTGGCTCATTTTCACTAAGAGACATAGAAATCGGTTCAAGCCGTGCTCGTACAGCCGAAATCCCTATTCGTAGTCAGGGTGTAATTTGAACAAGCTGGGTCCGGGTCCAGCACCTCCGAATTCCGATAACCTCATTTGGCGGATCCCCCTCCTCGCACACCAATGAAAGATGTTCGTGTCAGGGTTATTATAGTTTTGCATTTTTAAATTCGTTTTTATTTTAATATCGCTTTCCATTTTCTTTTATTAGTTTCATTAATAATTTGGTTAATTTTAGTTTAGTTTTTATTTTGTGAACATATTTATAGCCTATTTAGATTTTATACAGATTACTTTAAGTTTTAACTTTACACTCTAAAAAATGCTGGGTTAAATAGAACCCAGTGCTGGGTAAAACAGGGACAAACCCAGCAATTGGGTTGTTTTGGCCCAGCGGTTGGGTTACTACCCAGAAGGTTGGGTTAAACATTTAACCCAACCGCTGGGTCAAAACAACCCAATTGCTGGGTTTGTCCCTATTTTACCCAGCACTGGGTTGTATTTAACC